ACACACACACACACACGCTACCTGTCCTCCACCTGGAGCCTCTGGCTCTTGCCACCATTGTTGTGTCATATATATCATATCCTCGTTGAAATCCAACCTGTGCTTAGAACTACGAGGATCTGCCTCTACCTGTCGCCTTCATAGTGTTTATTGAGGGACCAGAAGCAGCTCTGGTGAGCTCCTTAAAACCTAAAGAACTGAAAATCTTTTAATCCACTTTCAGGCCATCCCTCTTTTAATATGCATGTTGCTCCAGCGGGTAAAGATCTCACATGCTGCGCTTATCTCCGTGGGCACCCTGCCTCCCTCTCTGCCCTCTTGCCAGGGAATCCGATTAATTAGCGTCCATGGGGTGATTACTTTGATACAGGTTTGTCATGTCACTTGGCAGGTGTGTGTTTGCAGTGAGCTAAAGTGGAGTTTGGAGGCTGGGCTGATATTCTGAGGATAAACACACTGTAACTACTCTCTGTAAACACTTTTGACTGCCGGTGCACCCGCTTTCAAATGAAATGTGCCTGGAAAAAATTAGGTAGAAGAAACAACACTGCAAGCGCAGGTCTTACCCCTCAGCTCCAGCTTGATCAGGGTTTGGTGGAGGAGCCGGAGCCGCGGCTGGAGCTGGAGCTGGAGCTGGAGCTGGAGCTGGGGCCGGAGCTGGGGCCGGAGCTGGTGCCGGGGCCGGAGCTGGAGCTGGGGCCGCTGATGGTGCTGGTTCAGGGGCTGGGGGTGGTGCCGGTGATGGAGCTGATTCTAAGAAAGGGGGAAAAAATCCTACGTTTATTTTGGCTTTTCAAGATTGTTAGAAATGGTCCTCACCTCCTGGAAGAAGAATAAAAAATGTTTGATCTTACCTAATTATTTATTTTTGCATTGTTTGTTTTCCTGTAAAGCATTTCTTTTAGACATCTTTATAAAAATATTACACATTTAGAAATATAACCGTAACAATACATTAGATTAAATTTGATATTTATAATGGTTTCTGTTTTCCCATTTATTTCTTTTAATTGCTAATTTTGTCATCATTGTATTATGTGTTTTCCTTATAGTCCCTGTAGTCTTATAACTGCTTGTCATCCATCTGTGAAGCAACTAAAAACTGTACATTTGTTCATCCTTTTTTTAGATTAGATTAGATTAGATGAAACTTTATTAATCCCTCGGGTGGGTTCCTCGGGTGGGTTTGGCATCTTTGTTGCGCTGGTTATGTGAAACCATTTTTATTTAGTTCATCATCTATTAAAAATACCTGTAACATCTGTAAAAGAAAGAGACGAGACGCTGAATATGACATTTGAGGGATTGATTATTAGCTGGCCGTGTTTCTGTCCGGCCTTCAGACACATTAGGCAACCGTGAGATCAGCAGAATGAAGTAACAGAACCTGGATGGATGATGGAGACAAACCTGATGTTATTCACTCCGGCTCCAAAAGGCCATTCAAACTTTCAGCAACACAATCAACAAATCAGTGAAATTCAATTTCTTGTCGAGCTCAGCAGTCGAGGAAATTCAACTAAAATGGAAACGGTCAGCAGGCACTAGAGAAGTCGTCCAACGCTGAACGTTTCATATTGGACATTTGTCCAAAGGCTTTCTCTTATTTTGGTCCCTTTTTGTCACTCGTTTGGCTGTTTGGGCTTTATAACTATGACGTATCTGAATCCTCATGATGCTCTACAGCTTTATACAAATAACAAGAATAAACAGAATAATACACGAGGCTGACTGAAGTGTGGAGGTGTTTCAGTAACACTGGGTTTCACTGCAGTATCTAATTAGCAAATACATTTGTAAAGAAGCTTATTATGCAGTAAAACGTTACATAAGTAAACCAGTCATACTTATTTCCCTTGTAATGGTATAAACAAGTGTTGTATTTATGTGTGAAGGTAATGGATATTGGTGGATTTAGATGTGGGTGTTTGGCCTATTACGTTGATTTGTCAGTTGCATTTGTATTAGTATGTCTTTTAAAAAAAATGATGATGCATGTGTTTCTATTTGCTCTATGACGTGTGCAGGGACAACAAACCCTTTGTCATGTTAGATGAATAGTTTTTGTACACAGACCCTGACAAATAAAGAGGGAAACCAAAATGAAGCGAAATTTAAAATAATCCATATTTTCTCATGTTCCCAACATATTAACAGTCAGTCTTGTTTTAATTTCACAAGATGGGACAAAAAAAAAAGGAACTCTGTAAACTTTTCAGCTGTTAGAATGACTCACCCTGTGGTCTGTCCACTTTCTTGTCTTCATTCTCCTTCTCAGCTGGCTTCTCCTCCTGCACGACAAATCAACATTTTTTCTTCTTCACAAAATCTGACGCCTGGCTCCATTTGTCAAACAGTGGCCATTAAGAGTGACGCTTTAATTTCAGTGGCAGTTTTAAAGAATGGTGAATTCAGCGTTTGACAAATGACTGCCTCTCCTGATAGACACTTTTAAAAACAGGCTGCGTTCATGATGAAACAAATTTCGAAGTGCCCGTTTGGGTAATGAGTGATTTCAATGAGGTAGCGAAACAATTTTATTTGATTTTTTTTTTTCTGTTTTGCTGCCAGGATACAGAGCAGCTGGTTGAATGATAGAGGCAGACAAGACGCCACTGCTCATGTCTGTAACCAGTCAAAAATCTGGTTGACAATAACGATTTATTATAGTTAGTCTAATAACTGAATATAGAGGCGGAACACATACCTTGGCTGGAGGTGGAGGTGGAGGTGGAGCTGGGTCAGGGGCTTTGCTGGTAGTCCCAGAGCCCTCTGGCACCTGCGGGCCGCTAAAGAGACCCTTCAACTTTGCAAACATGTCTAAAAACCTACAAGTGCATCAGCCGTACTGCCTGCTGCTTGTATGAGGGGAGTGTGGCGGGAGCCAAGGATCAAAACGATCCCTCAACTAGTCTGATCCCCTTCACTCCGCCTACCTTTTCTTCTCCACCTGTTTTAATTCAGCGTGTCCTCATAACCAAATTGGCCCTAATTGCATTACTGTATTTAGCAGGACTAATACTCTTGCACCGAGCATAGCCCCCACCATCAGCAGTGACATGTCAGCCCATCCCTCAATTGGCTTAGGGGTGACCACTAAAGCAGGGAGGGCTGCTTAAACAGCATGCATGCGTGCGAATGTCTGTGGAGCACACTGTCATTCTTCTTATTGTAAGTGACACACTCTTGAGTCATGATACATTTTTAAAAAAACTGCCATTGCCGTTGAATGTATCATTGAAAAAGGATGGAAGACAGTGATCAAACAAAGTCCACATAGTGGGTTTGAATAACCCAATTAGATATACACCAGCTCACTGAGAGGTCAAAGTGATACTGTGCCCTTTCACTGAGTTAAAATGGGTCATGAGTGCGTCATGCCCGCTGCTCTCATTTACTCACTGTAGTACTTTGCTGTCTGAAGCAGGGCAGGAGGGAATCAAACAGGCTGAGTCTCAGTGCAGGTAATCAGCTCATGTCCATGGCCAGTTTGGAGATGGCTTACGTGTGGACCTGGGAAACATTTTTAGAGCTAAAAACAAAACTAAAAGTTGTTGAGAGCTTCTCTTCTCTGTTTAGTGTGCAGTCGGGAGTGCAAGGCACAGCTCTCGCCTCGTCAGCACTTTTACTAATCTCTCTAAACAGATACCTGCAGATGGCCAACGGCAGCAGCACTGCAGCTTGCATGTTGGCTGCAGGGTCAAACTATTCATAGCATTCAGCAAAACGAAGCAGTGATCGTGATGCTGTTGTCTTCACTCTGAATATGAGGAATTCTTTCATATTCTTTCACAGTACGTTAGCTAAGTTAGCTAAGCTTTCAACATGATGAGAGGTCCACTGTTTAACAGCTTACGGCAGTCACAGCAAGACTGAAAAGACACTTCAAAGTAAAAACTGAAAATGATTGTAAGTGTATGATGGCGCTGGTTTGTAACTGTGCCACTCTGAAGTCTTTCACATTTAGAGCTAAATGTTACAGATAACCATAATTATAATGGTTCATACTTCAGAGCTACAGTGCTGTGAAAAAGTATTTTTCTTTCTTCTTTCTTCTTTTTCTCCCTTCCTGATTTCTTAGGTTTTTTTGTGAATATTTTTCACACATGTTCCAGATCATCAAACTGTAATATTAGACAAAGAGGGAAAAGCCACCCAAACTTACCTGTCATTGTGTGAAAAAGCAACTTCCTCTCTTTTTAAATTAAACATTAACTGTGATTATTCACATTTTTTGGAAAGCTGAGTTTTGTTTCAGTAGCACTCTGAGTTGGTGAATTAGCAAATCACTTAAACAGAACCTGGCAGACAAAGTAAAGTAGGCTAAAAGATCTCTAAATGTAGCGCACCACACCGCGATCTAAAGAAACAGCTGAGTCACCGATATCTATCAGTCTGGAAAGTCTGGAAAGAGTCCCGTTACATCTGGAGTAATTCTGCCAGAGGTTTCTTCC